TGATATTGCTGAGGCTGCCGAGAGAAGGATGACAGATATCATTAACTTGCCCATCCTTCTCACACATTTCCCAGTTGAAATTAAGGCCTTCTACATGAAGAAAGATCCTCAGGATCCAAGAGTTACAGAGAGTGTGGATGTTTTGATGCCAGGTGTTGGTGAGATTGTTGGTGGTAGTATGAGAATGGAAGGTTATGAGGAATTGATGGCTGCATATGAGCGTGAGGGCATTAGTCCTAAGGAGTACTACTGGTACACTGAACAGAGAAAGTACGTTACTCCCCTTCTTTTTACCTCTACAACTGCACCCAACCTCTGATTGTGATTCTTCAAACTATGTATGCGCAAATAAACTAACAGTAAACAGGTATGGTACATCTCCTCACGGTGGTTACGGATTAGGTCTTGAGAGATTCATCGCTTGGATCTGTAAACAGCATTCAGTGCGTACGTGCTGTTTGTACCCAAGATTTATGGGACGTTGCAAGCCTTAGAGCAATGGATTGTGGTTGATTGGGATAATGAAGTTGGAGAGAAAAGTTGTGACGAATGGATGCTATTGATAGCAGAGGTTGCAAGTTTACATTTGAGTAAAGCGTTAAATGAGTGAATGATAGGCCACCTGATGTTTGATCCATTTTTGATTCTATGTATACATTGTGAATTCGAATGTTTGAGTAGAGTTATGATTGGAACGTTTGAACTTTGATGTTTGACTTCTCGAAAGCACCGCGAGAGCACGCTAGACTTTCGATATTGGAGAAAATTATATATACCAGCTGGTCAATTCCCACATTGTAGAATTTCCGATAAAGAAATACCGCTAGAGAGGTCAATGCAACGAGAATTGAGAGGGCGTGAGTAAGCGAAGCGAAAGGAGGTGAGAGGGAGGACATGAGAAATAGGGATTTTAAACGTATGGGAGGAGTTTGATATTTTGATCTTCAAGCTTCATTTATGTATGCAGAATAGACAAAAAACAGAAAGCTCGTTTGATGTTATGTTTATTTATTTAGGTACTAGATATATAGATGGAAGATTGTCGATTTCATACATCTCAACTCTGGAAGTTTTTTGATAGGTTGCCCGCGCGAGATTCTACATTGTATTCATATCCTAATTGCAGTTTGGAAATTGTAGAATGATATCTATTAATAGCCACGCTGAGCCATGTTTCCAATTTACATCTCAATATCATTCTTCCGTATTAATTACCCAGGCACTCGCAGTTAGATTAGTTGGTGGCGAGTGGACAATTATGAAGCTATACCACACTACACTACACTACCGGTACACTACACTACACTCACGAGTCACGGGAAATTGTTTCACGAAACACGCCACGAGAGCTTGGACCTAGGGGCTCGGATGATGTTCCTTACTTGGTACTGGAATAGATAGGGGAAATCCTTGGGGATGGAGAGTTGGTGTAATTGGGGTGGGTGGTTGGAGGTGGTGTAATGTTCTGGAAGGATGGGTGGAAGGATGGAGGTGAAGGATCGATGTATTGGGGGAGGGGAGGTGCAATGAGGAGAGATGGGAGGTTGTGGGTAGCTGAAGGTACTGTGCACTACGACTCATGGAGATGAATGGGAAGGAAATGCTACTTTTGATGGTGATTAGATGTGGTTAGTTTTCATGTGGGTTGTGATCTGTCGAAACGGTCGCGTTGAGACGTAAGGGATGATTTGGAAAGCGTTGAAAAGCGTTGATCTTGAGAATTTCCATTGATTACAACCATTGTTAACTTACCTTACCAGCAAAGTGTACACGAGTATCTCAAGAATGATTGACAAACCCGTGTGACATCTCGTAACGTGCTACTCTACATACATACGGATTACAGTTGTGCACAGCTACCTAGGAATATTCAGGGCTGCATCTTGAGACTTGGGGCCCGTTGTCGATACTACATAGATATGTACGTAGCCTGTCAGTACTTGGCCATCCTGGATATATAGGTACGCATCCGTATTATCTCAGCAATATTCTGGAGATTAAATCTGCGCATCTGAATGTTCCGGCGACTAAGTGCATCGTTTGTTCGTATTGTATGGGAAGAAACAGTAGGAGCCAGAAGGGATAGGTGGGGCCGATAGTGAAATGAATGATATCTGTTCTTTGAGGGTTGAGGAACTTTTGTTGGGATGATTAATAAATTTATAAGGAGTGAAGCGGTATCATTGAATTTACATAGCTGATTGGATAGACATGGGACGAGATGCTCTAAGGATCGGAATCAAAGAATTGGATAATTGGGTGAATGGGGACATCGATCACTTCGGGGAATATAATTCTTTTGTGCTCGCATGATCTCTGGAGCATACTCTCAAAGCAGAAGGGCTGGAAAAGTCGGTGGGTTGTCAAAAAGTTATGGAAGATTTTATGCCTATCGCGTGCAGAAACGAGGACAACCCATGAGCGGTGTTGGAGATCGTACGGAGTCGATGGATTTGGACCCTGAATTGATGAATGAAGATTAACCACGAATTCGACGCGAGATCCATAAGTGCATATCGTGTGCTGTTTTGCTCCATACGGTGCTTCAAAAATCAACACACAGTCGTAATGGATTTGCTCTTTTGGGTCGTCTCCATAGTAATCAAGTCTAGAATACAGTGCTGGCGCTGCGATTGGATCCGTGTTAGAATGCTGAGAGGATGAAAGAGGCAGAGCTCTTTGTCTGTTGTGTCGTACCTGATTGTGGTTATGGTTATGGCTTCGTACCTACCTTTGTATCAACATGTAGGTCCCACGATATGCGCCGCGGCTATGGAGGATTCTGTATGTTAGTTCACGGTAGGCTGTGATGGTGGAAGTCAAGAATGATTTGATATCTTGACGCTCTTTCTGCACCAATACCTTAAAATGTGTGTACCATGGTATTTTGAGTTTTGGTAGCTTCGCGTGCTTACATGATCGTTGACCCCCAGATGAAGGGTCCGAGATGATTTGGAAATGAATGCATCGCCTCGCCTTAGTTTGGATGCTTATGCCCAGGCATGAGATTCTTATCGATTCGTGAGTGAGAGACGTGAGGATGACTTTTCCTCTCTTCTGCTCTATCATATCTTGGATGCGTGCCTATGTGTATGTGCATGTGTGTGTGAGAGAGTGTGTATACCTGTGTCAGTGATTCAATGTGATTTCATCTAATGAAATTTTGATGAAATGTTTCTAAAGAACGATTATTTTAAGATGATTGCATCAACATATTGGTAGTACAACATTAGAAACGGTCTTGGAGGCTTCCAGGGGTAAAAGGTAGCTACCTACCATATTAGCGGGCATCTACTTGGTATGATGTCCATAAGATAATAGTCTATACCATACCAGATACCATACGACGCCAGACCATACTATATCCCACATCCCATCTCATACCGTATGCCATACCGTATCCCATACCGTATCCCATACCATCCCATCCCATACCACTTCCCAGCACACACCATCCCATCCCATCCCATCCCATCCCATCCCACCCCATACCGTACATTCATTTCCATATTTCGAGTAAAAGGGGAGGATAATAATGAACCAACCAAGGTACCAGGTAGCTTAGTGAGCTACTAGTGAGGTACTGGCGGGATTCATTCTAGAAAAGGAAGGACCCCATGTTAAATTATACTATCCCACATCAAGCCATCACCCCAAACTACTTTCGGTTTAATTAAAATGAGGAATTCCTCCCTTTTTCTCTCTCTTATTCATGAATTCTAGTATTTGATTGGTTCAATTCCAGATCATACTCGATCAGATAAATTATCTAAGGTATTATTTTTCCCATCGTCCTATTCCATCCTAACTTCACTTGCCCGCTTTCAATCTTTTTCATTTCAGTCCTCTCTCACATTCACTCTCACAACTCACTCCCTCTCTCCATCTTCCTTCATTACTCTACTTCTTATATTATGCTTTGAACAATTCACAATTCTTTCAAGATATTGTTCAATTCTATTTTACTCCTTTTTCGTTGATTTTTGATTCCAATTATTCCTTCTTTGGTTAATTCATTTTGAATACACTCTTTTTTGGTATCATTTCCACCATCAGGTCCCCATCTCAAGAGAGATTAAAAAAAGCGGATTGACTATCTTGCATTCCCCTTTTTTTACCCTTTCACAACTCTAATTCTTGATCTTTTGATTCTCGAATATCGACAAGAGGATTGAATTGAAGAAGACAAGAAGAGGAGCAGAAGAAGTGTGTATTGAAAAAAGAAGAAGAAGAAGAAGAAGACGATCCGAGAAGAAAAGAAATCTAGACAGTCCTTATCGATTCGTCCAAACTATTCGAATGAGCTTGTCGAAAAGTCTACCTCCTTTTTTTTAATAAGAAAAAGACAAAACTTCTTTGTTGTTACTATTGTTCCAATATTCTCTATACAGCCCACTCAAATCTTGCATCGAGCAGATATTCTGAAGCTTTTCTTTTAGAACTGCCCAATTTGTCTTCGCATCGAAACGACCATCACTTCGATTGGAATCCTTTGCGGTCAAATAAAGTCCTTCGAGCATTCACTTAACTTCAAACGTCCATTCCTTCGATCCAACACACTTCGAACATCTACCACACAGATATTTTGCGACGATTCACATCGACAACTTCCTCCTTTCGATTCGAATACTTGTATACAAACTGAACCTATTTTAATATTCATATTTCTATCTATACAAGAATTTGTTTATAGCGGCAAACATTCTCAATTCCAGCCAACCAGCCAACCTCGAATATCTACATACCTAGCTTTGTTAATACATATCCAAACTTCACTTCAGACAAATATTTCGATTTCGAATTTCTCGGCACATACACTCTTCTTACGATTTTTGGCAGATTAATTTTCTGTTGGATATCTTTTGGTCAATTGATTCATTCAATCTTCAAGACCAAAAGTTCTTCAACGTGCCTTTGCAGGCACATTTTAATCTTTCAAAACGGCGGTAATATCATCTCTTGTGCGGGACAGCTTTGTCCTGCCACCTCATCTTCTCGGGATGCAGGAGTCACAATCTCAAAATGGCGGATCTGGAGCGACATCTGTAAATAGACCCTTTGGGCATGCATCGAAGCCTTCCAGCAGCGATACGGGCTTCTCTCATGGCGCATACAGCTCAAATCAGTTTTCGATGGGTGGTTACGGTGATAGACATCCTCGCAGAGTGAACATTCCTTCAATAAATACACAGAGCATGGGCCAACAAGGTCAAAATGATATGACAACACCAGGGACCGCATTCGATATGCAATTCACACCTTTGTTACCTTCACAGCTTCTCCTTGGTAGTCCATTCCAACCAGGAACTCCTTCTGCGTTCCAAAGTCCTCAATTTCAAAACTATGCAACATTCCAACAGCAACAGCAGAATCAACAGCAACCTCAAAGCCCAACTGGACCTATGTCTCCTCAACTCTATCAGAGCTTGGTCTCCCCTTCGACTTATGGCGCACCTCAGTTCTACAACCCACAGTCCCCAACTGGTGGATTTGCACAAATGAACAACGGGATGCAGAACATGAGCATGGCTCCTTCCTCTCCAGTACAGATGTCACCTGGTTTAGTTTCAGGAACCAGCCGAACTGTTTACTTGGGAAACATTCCTCCTGAGACGTCCGCTGAAGAAATCCTCGGTCACGTCCGAAGTGGGCAGATTGAGTCTGTTCGACTTTTGCCGGATAAGAACTGCGCTTTCATCTCATTTTTGGATGGAAGTTCCGCCACACATTTCCACTCCGATGCGATTTTGAAGAAGCTCTCTATCAGAGGCCAGGATATCAAGGTTGGTTGGGGAAAGCCTTCTCAAGTGCCCACTTCCGTCGCTCTTGCCGTTCAACAATCAGGTGCTTCGAGAAATGTTTATTTGGGAAATCTTGGCGAGGAGGTCACCGAAGATGAGCTGCGTGAAGATCTTGGAAAATTCGGCCCAATTGATACAGTGAAGATTGTTCGAGAAAAGGCAATTGGTTTTGTTCATTTCTTGTCGATTGGAAACGCTATTAAGGCTGTCTCTCAGTTACCTCAAGAGGCAAAATGGCAATCGCCACGTCGGGTCTACTACGGAAAGGATCGTTGCGCTTACGTTTCGAAGACCCAACAACAGAATGCTGCACAATATCTTGGTATTGCACCAGGATATGCTCATGTTCTCAATGGGGCTGATCGTGACTTGATTTCTAATGCTCTTGCTCAACAATCCGTAGCTGCTGCTGCTGTTGCCACAACTGCGGGTGGAATCAATAACCTTGGAAACCGAACTGTTTACCTGGGTAACATTCATCCAGAAACAACAATCGAAGAAATTTGCAATGTTGTTAGAGGTGGTCTTTTACATCACATTCGATATATACCCGACAAGCACATTTGCTTCGTCACATTCATTGATCCTACTTCTGCTGCTTCTTTCTATGCTTTGAGTAACTTGCAAGGATTGATGATTCACAACAGAAGATTGAAGATTGGGTGGGGAAAACACTCTGGTGCTCTCCCAGCTGCAATTGCCCTTGCTGTTAGTGGTGGTGCATCAAGAAATGTCTACATTGGTAACTTGGATGAATCATGGACCGAAGAGAGATTGAGACAAGATTTCTCTGAATACGGTGAGATTGAATTGGTCAACACTCTTCGAGAGAAGAGTTGCGCCTTCGTAAACTTCACGAATATCGCAAATGCTATTAAGGCAATTGAGGCCATCCGAGGAAAGGAAGAGTACCGTCGATTCAAAGTCAACTTTGGAAAAGATCGATGTGGAAATCCTCCACGACAAGTCCAACAATCCCAATCTCCACGCGGTGATGGTGTTAACTCACCCCCTCATTCGGGTGGTCTTCAACCCAGTCAGAATGGTTCTTCCCCGACAGGTTCTGTAGCTCCTGGTTCAATCAATGGATCAAATGGAAATTTCCAACAGCAGCAACAACAACAACAACAGGGGTCTACTCCATCAACTATTCTTAACGCTGGAAGCAACAATCCTTTGACTATGTACCTCAACCAAGTTTCTCAACAAGCTCAACAACAGCAACAACAAAACCTTGATCCGTACTCCGTTGCAGCTCTTCAACAACAGCAGCAACAAGTCCTTGCAGCGCAACAAGCTGCTTTGTACGGTGGTGGTAACATGGATGACATGAATATCCAGCAACCACAATCGAATGGACACGGCTCAAGCGCAAGCATTAGCAATACGAATGGTTTCCAATCATCTGGAGCACCCACCATGAATGGATTGTTGGCTCCAGCTAGAGGAAGCCACAGCAGGGCTGTTTCTCTTCCTGTTTTCGCACAACCAGATGGTAATGGAAATGGAGAGCAGCAAGGAAACCCAAGAGGTAGAGGACATCAATATCAAAGCTCTTTCTCTGGTGGTCTAGGCAATGGAGGTTTCAACAGCGGATACGGACTTGGCATTGATGGACAAGGACATGGACTCAATGGTTGGGCTGAAGAGGAAGTGGCAGGACATTAATTAAGGACAGTGACTTCTTTTAATGATTATTTGAGCTTATAGTATGGAGGAGGAAAAAGTGGCTTAGTTGATTTGTTTGAAATTGAACTTGCGTGCATTTGATAGGCATAGGCAGGAAATATTGTGTTGTAATACCGAGCTCTCAATTTCTTATTTATTCCATTTCATCTTTTCTTTACTACCTTCATTCGCTTCGTTGTGCTTTCTTTCTTGTTTTGGTCTCCAATGGCTCTTGCGTTCTGTGTATCTTTTTGTTTCGTGGGTTGAGATGTCAAGGGAAACATTTGCGGATGAAGAATTGAGGAAGGCGAGGATCTCAAGAGAGGATATTGAATGCTTGATATTGATATCCAGAAAAAGAGAGAGGAAATAATTAAAGAGTTCAAGAGGGTATTGGATAGGGAATGATGACCAGTCTGGGATTAGGTATCAGGATAGAAAGGGACCTGGCAATATGATCCGATGATAGGGAGGTAGGTTCGAGGGGTGGAACGAGGTGGGAAATGAAAAATGAAATAAAACAGATATCTGAATCTTGATTGTGATGATTTTGTGAAGTGTGATTGATTAATGCTTCGTATATTGGAGTTTAATCTCGAGGGTTGGTGGCTTCAATGAGATCTCTACATTCTCTGGCTGCTCGTCTAAGTCAACAAGGGGAAAGGAACTCACTCGACTTTGCCTAGCTTCCACTCTTGGTTTGCACAAGGTGGAGCTTTGGGCCTTGCTTGATCGGATTAGAATTGATATAGTACTTGCGGATGAGTTTTCTGAATGACAATGAATATCCTTACCATGATGAAGTGACAATAGTGGTATTGTCTCATCCCATGATTTTCACCAAGGGAAGAGAGGGGGGGTTCCTGAGCAGGCTAAAGTCTTGACTAGTTGGTATCAACTCAGCATATGATGAAGCTGTGAGAGAGATCTGAACTGACACCTGATGGCATTCGAATGAGCAACTTGTAATATGTATCTGTAAGGGAAACTCCCTATCTGGTGACTATGGTGTAATGCCTGGAACAATCTCTTCATTTAGATGTTTGGCCGATAGAGTAATAGTTCTGAACAAAGAGGACAATCCAAGATCAATGGCAGTGGGATGTTAAGGTAAAGATAGTTCAGTTGCCAAGCAGGACAGAACTTCTATCGTGTTTTAATAATATATGTCAGGGCCTTTCTTATATTGAGCAATTCTTTATACCAAATCATCGAATGAAATTTGAAGTAGACAATTGAATACTTATAGTGCCACAGTTCACTTTGTGAGGGGCTTCTATCAATCAAGCCTCAATGATGGTTGTGGTCTGTGCACACCAATGACGATGGCTGGTGATCAACTATGTTAGAACTCAGAATGAATGTAGGAAAGCTTTCCTTGAGTGCTTGTTCCAACTGCCATGATCTCGAATAACATCAAATCACAACACACAAACAATTGTCTAATCATTAATCAAATATTCACAGAAACACAGAAAACTTACAGTACAAGCAAGCAGATCATTCATACATGATGTGGAATGATGAAGACAATAATCCATACGGCACCAGCTTCGAGCGCCGAGATTCAATAACTTCTTCAAATGCTGTCCCGAATTCACCTGGATCTCGTAAGTTCTTGTCTTTCATTTTCACAACTTTGATCACTTTGTATCAAAATGTTCTCTGTTTTCCTGGGCTACGCGCCAGGTGCTGAGTCTGATGCTGACTCCGAGGGCTGGGATATCATAGAACATGATTTTGGTGGACCACGCACTCCTTCCACCATCAGCGAAAACCAAGATAATGTACCAGAGCAGCGCAATCTAAGTTATGATCCGAGTGAGGCAGGAAGTGATGAGGATTATGGCGAAGCCTCTCAGGCTACAAGAAGGCAAAAGAAAGGGGGGTACGATAGTCGCATTGAACAAATTCTTTACGAGAATCCGGATCTCCCTATTCTGATTGTTGATGCCGGGAAGAGTTCTGAGAGTGGTGGGAAATATATTGTGTATACGATAAGAACCGGGGTATGGTAACTAGCTAGGTGAAAAAGACAAGCTAACAATATAGTAGGATCTTGAAGTCCGTCGTCGCTATTCCGAGTTTGCCTCTTTAAGAGATGCCCTCTCCAGGTTGCATCCTACTTTGATCATTCCACCTATTCCAGAAAAGCATACCATAGCAGATTATGCGGCGAACCCAACCAAAGCAAAGGTGGATCAACAAATGATAGATCTTCGAAAGCGCATGTTGGCTGTCTTCTTGAACAGATGTAGGAGAATGGATGAGGTACGGAATGATGGGGTTTGGTGGAGATTTCTGGATCCAAACGCAAGTTGGGTAAGTCGGCGATCGTTCAATTTCCGCTACCGGTCCTATTCTAACTCTCATTAGAACGAAGTATTACATTCCCATCCTATCGCATCAATTCCAAAATCCAATATGAAAGCCCCACCACTCGACCCCGCCAACCCCACACCAGCTCACGCATTCCTACCTGTGCCTGCATCCTCTGCGAAACTCAAGGCAGCTTCTACATCTACTACAAATGCTCAAGGTATGATAGCACAACCTTCTGGGTATGCCGCCAGTCCTTCCACCGCAGCGCATTCTACAGCCGGACCGCAAGTCTTTGGCAGAATCCCTCCGGAAAGTGCGAATTTGAGTGAACAGGATTTGGATCCATACTTCATAAGCTTTGAATCTTCTACGAAGGACTTGGAAGCGTTGTTGACCGGACCCATTGAACGAGTGAACCGGAGGACATTGACCCATTTGTCTTCGTTGTCGACCGATTTGGCGGAACTTGGCGCTAGATACAATGGGTTTTCGCTCTCGGAGCCATCGGCATCTCTTGCAGCTGCTATCGAAAGAGTTGGTCAAGCTGTTGATTCCTCTTACATTGCGACCGAGGAACTCTCTGCTTCCTTAGGTGCAACCTTTGCCGAACCAATGCGCGAGAGTGCACAATTTGCCGGTGTAGTGCGAAGTGTTTTGAGATATCGCGTTTTGAAGAGGGTTCAGCAAGAGATGACTAACGAGGACCTGGCTAAGAAGAAAGCTCTTCTAGAGCAGTTGGAAAGGAGCGAAGCTGAAGCAAAGAGAATCGACCAATATCTAACCAATAGTGGAACTGGCAATGTACCACGGCGGTCAAATTCGTCTGCAAGAGAACCGCCACAGGTAAGACGTGAATCGCCGCATGATGATACGGCATCAATTGACTCCGATTTTCCTCCAACTCACGGCGAAACTCCATCTGCTTCTCAAGGAATCCCTCAACAGGAAGAAATTCCTCCTACTCATCGAAAAAGTTCCAGTGGAAATTTCATCACAAACAAGATCTTTGGACGTATAAGTCATGCAGTTCATGGCGTTGTTGATGCTGACCCGGAGCGAACACGGAGGGATCAGATTAGCAAGACTAGAGAGGCCATTTCACATTTGGAGCAAGCACAACTTGCGTCCGCACAAGATGTTAAGGATGCAAGTGCAGGTGTTCTTAAGGATTTGCAGAGGTTTCAAAAAGAGAAAGAAGATGATTTGAAGAGATATATGGTATGTGTTAACCTCCTGCTACATTCCCTCTTTTGCATACCCATAGCAAAATTGCGACGGAAACACTAATCATGTTCACAGCTTGCATACGCGAGAGCTCAAATTGAATGGGCTAAAAAAAATAAGGAAACTTGGGAGGAAGCCAAACTCGAAGTGGAGAAGATAGATGACAATTAATGCGGAAGGAATGAAAGCTTCATGATGATGGGTGACGGATGATAAAGTTAATCAAAGCTAGCTAGTGGGCAATGGTGGTATTTTACGGGTGGTAATATTGATACGGGTTGGATCAGTAGGTATGAATAAAAAGGAGTTGCTGTGTAATTAGGAACCAGGAAAGATAGCTCTGCAAGCGCAGCCAACGAACAGAAATGATTAGAGATATACCCTTGAGATTGAGACTGAGGTTGATAGTAGCTGTGTGAACGAAATGGGTGAGATTCTTGTCTGAGATATCTGACAACGCTGCAAAGGTCTAGCTTTTTCGCAAGAGTGCACAGGTACTACTGAACGGATATCTGGGATATGGTTTGCCAAGATTACTGTCTCACAGTCTTACGTTGCCGGGAAAGGGGAACGGCATGGAAGCGAAAAGTGACCCATGGCTTGAAAATCAGTTGGCTCAGAAATAAGTAGCATGAAGTATTTTAACTTTCGCACGTTTGTGTAAAATAGGTAGTGGTAAGTTAAGGATGAAGTGTATAATTAATTGTTCGGCTTTGTCTCGCAGAACACCAACTAACAGAGAGAACTAGCGAGAGGAGAGTGAACGGTAGAGGCACGAAGTCACAACTTGGTTGCGCACAATCTTGGGTCAAGAAAGGAAAACGAAGAAATTTTTAGTTTGAAGGCGGGTGTTATGTTGAGATCCCTTCTTTGAAACTAAAACAAGATGTCATTATATCACATGTCCAGCTTTGAATCATTCTCTCTTGTTGAGAGAACTCTTTCTCGGAGCTATAATTCGAATCTTTGGTAAAGCAGGCTCGGAATTTCGAAGTTGATAAGGATTAATGATGCAGCAAACTTGAAATTAAAGTGAGCTGCACGTCCGACTGAATAAGATAACATTGATGATGATGTGGAAAATAATGCCAAGTCTTTTAGACGTGTCTATTTTTCCCTCAATATCAGTCAACTCTACACGAGTTTCTTATAGATTCAAGTTTTCAGTAGCTGTGTTGAATAAGGAGCAAATCTAAAATTTTGCGTTCATTTGTGAATCCTGATCTAGGTGGAAAGAGCAACCTTAAAAGGCGTCCCCTTTTATAAACTTCCTATCGGTGTGGGCACGAAGCACGAGATTTTTTTTTCTTCTTCAAAAGTGGACATGTTAGGATCATCCCAACATGTCCATTTTGAATCAAAACAAACCTATAAAGACCTCAGGAATTGTCTAGATTTGTGAATTCACTGTGTGAGCAGTAGATCACATCTCGGGAGTTTGTCTCTGTACAGTTAAATCACTGATTGTTGAGGATCATCTGTTCACATTCCTTCGTCTCGTGATCGTGCGAGCGAAGATGGGAATCAGAATGGATTCGACACACCAGCTCTGGCAGATGTAATAAGCAATGAGTGCAGGGAATGGAATATTAAATTTACCCACTTTCTTGGCCCAAATGCTCCATAGGAAGATGTTCTAACGTCTAAAATGAAATCAAGCTTTCCAATAGTTTGGTAAGCATTTTGGGTCCACTCGATAATGGATTCAGAAAAGCTAACAGCTGAAAACAATACCACAAGCTAAATTTGATCATTCTTTTTCCGCGCTGTCCCAATGAAAGATCAGATAATAGTTTTCTTTATATAGAAACAAGCTTTAAACAAAAGGACCAAAGAAAAGCTTGCAGGGAGAGTGCAAAGTGTTTATCCGCTTGTCAGTAAGATTGCGGGGTGGCTTTTTGTGGATTCGCGGGGACTGGGGGGTTGGAGAAGATGGGGTTCTCGGGGTTGTAAGCGACCGCCGTTTTGGCCAGCTAGGTTAAATGGAACTCGAGGAGCTTCGATCTTTCAATTTCTACTTAGTACTGGGACTGAAAACATAGTCTCGGGACTCTCTACCCTATACATCGAAAGCTTCATTGAATCTCAAATTAGTTCATGATATGGAGCTTGAAGATATATTGCTGGCACTTATCACTTGCAAACATGTTCGATTTCCCTTATTGCACACAGGTCAGATGGAAATAAATTCCAGGGTATGAGGGTCAATCTTTTACCGGGAACCATGCTTCTATACAGATTATTGGTCGATCAATCTCACGCCTCAGCCGTGCATATTCACATCGAAGCTCCGGTGAGGGTGAAGGTTACGTATGTGTGAAAGTGGATAAGAAGCTCTGGATAAGATCCAGCCATGCGCAAAATAAATTTGACAATTTCCCTCTTTCTTGTCGTACCCCAATCTAGATCTCAATATCTCTGAGTATTGAGCTCCAATCCGCTATCATGGGGATGTTGTCCAAAGTCGAGGATCGCCCTACTCCTTCTCAAGTCTATAATTGGCGTGTATATGCATGTTCTATTGTCGCTGGTTTTGCTGCTGTCATGATAGGTTATGATAGCGCATTCATAGGAACAACTATCGCCCTGCCATCTTTCAAAGAGGAATTCAACTTCGCCGCATTATCTACCACGAAGTTAAATCTTGTGAGCGCCAATATCGTATCATGTTATCAAGCTGGAGCATTCTTCGGTTCTCTCTTTGCGTACATTGCGGCGTATTTCCTTGGAAGAGTCCGAGGAATGGCTGTATTTAGTGCTGTATTTACAATTGGTGCTGCAATGATGCTTGGTGCAAATGGAGATCGTGGCCTGGGTCTCATATACGGCGGTCGAGTTCTTGCAGGTTTGGGCGTAGGAGGTTGTTCGAGCTTAGCTCCCATTTATATTTCCGAGATATCTCCACCTGCAATTCGTGGTCGATTAATTTGCGTAGGTTTTGCCAGTCAATTGCACATTAAAGTTCTTGCTAATCATCTGCCAGATGTTTGAGTTAGGATGGCAGATTGGTGGACTGGTTGGATTCTGGATTAATGTGAGAACAACAATCGTTGAGTGAGGGGAGAGTTGCTAATTGTCTCTGCAGTACGGAATCTCTGAAACTCTTCCATCTAACCACGAGCAATGGATAATTCCATTTGCAATTCAGCTTATTCCTTCCGGATTGTTATTATTTGGATCATTTTGGCTTCACGAAACCCCTCGCGTGAGTACACTGGCTTCCAAATCTTTCACTATTTCTTCTCAATTGCATTGCTTTTCCGAACCATGGCTAAATCTTATTCCATATAGTGGTTGATGAGCAAAGGAAAACGGGATAAAGCTATCAAAAATCTATGCTGGATTCGAAACCTCACTGAAGATGATATCTACATCAGGGAAGAGATCTACGCAATCGACCAAAATATTGAACAACAAATGGCGGGTGGTGGTCTTGGATTCTGGCAACCATTCAAACTCCTCGCGAGAAGTCGAAAGATTCAATGGAGATTTTTCCTTGGAGGTGCATTGTTCTTTTGGCAAAACGCTTCTGGTATCAATGCCGTCAACTATTATTCTCCAACTATCTTCAAGAGTATTGGAATTATCGGTACCAATACTTCACTATTCTCGACCGGTCTATTTGGTGTTGTCAAAACCGTGGGAACTATCATTTACTTGCTGTTCCTGATTGATCAATTGGGTCGCAGGAAGCTATTGATGATCGGATCCATTGGTGGAGCTTTGTGCATGTACTACGTCGCTGGTTACATTGCAATTGCAAAACCTGCGGATCACCCAACAAGTTCCCTGCCGCCTTCTGGTGTATCTGCAGTTTTCTTTTTCTACTTGTGGACTGTAAGTCCCCAGCCAATTGGATACCCAATGACTTACTGATAACTCTTTAGGCATTTTACACCCCAACCTGGAACCCAACACCCTGGGTAATAAACGCCGAGATCTTCGACCAAAGCGTCCGAACGCTAGCTCAAGCACATGCCGCTGCCCATAACTGGCTATGGAATTTTCTCATCTCGAGATTCACACCTCAAATGTTCTCTTCAATGGGATATGGAGTCTACTTGTTCTTCGCATCATTGATGATTTGGGGTGCGGCATTCGTCTTCTTCTTGATTCCAGAAACGAAGAACGTTCCTCTGGAGGCGGTTGATAGGCTTTTTCAGCGCAATTTACCGGCTAGGAGAGCGCATGCAGTTGTATGGGCGGAATTGGAGCAGGAGGAAGAGGCATTGAGAGCGGGAATCACAGCGGGATTGGAAAAGGAGAGGGCCGCTTCGCATGTTGAGACTGTTTAGGATGGGCGGGACACGAGGATTGGTATTTATTCGTAGCTAACGACCAATTCATCGCTTGATTATTGCTGCAGTAGTGAGAAATAGTAGTAGCAAAAGCTCTGCATAATTTTGCCCCCGTGTCAGTTTTCATGAAATGAAGAGATTCAGCTAGAGGACGCGGAGTGCTTGTTTTTCCGGAAGAAGACAATCGATATCAGAATCAATGTCTGTTCAGCTTCGAATAATATATAGTGACCCATATGACTCGGGCATCTCACACATATCGAAAGCCAGAAGTTCCTTTGCCTTAGACTCAAGTAGAGGTTAAAGGGCATCAAGGAATGGAAACTCCCAAACCTTGGAACTGTGCACTCCTTCTCTTTCTCCCTACTTCCTATTCCCGAGCCCCAATAAGAATGCAGTTCTCAACACCAACCCAAACCCGAGAATCCCGTAGTTAATCAACTCCTCCGTCGACCATCCCCCAACGTTAAAAAGCCCAATTGAATCCGCCTCGTAGATTCCCCAAGCATGCCCTACGTCACACACCAACATAGCAAATACCACAGTTTTCCACACGGAATAATCGCGAGTGAGTCTCAGGACGACCGCTTCGTTGATTGTGAATAGGATATACAGAGCCGCGATATCAGTGGAGAGAAACTTTATCACGGGGTCTGGGGTAAGGGTTGAGGAGAGAGAAACGAAGGGTTTAGAAAGGGAAGAGGGGGCCGTGCCGTGGATGAATTTGTAGGGTTGGAAGTAGGCTAGGTATGCGCCAGAGAGGGCCAGGATAGGTTCGATGTAGAGGAGAAATATACGATAGAAGGGGTGGATTTTGGAAATGCGAGAATCAACTGATGGGGCCATTGTGAAAATGGTGACGATGACGGCAAT